TCAGACAAGTGTGAGTCTGAACTGCAGAAAAAAAAAACAGGTTAGAAATTGTATAGTTAATTGTAAATATGTCTTTAGTAATTCACAAGTCACTATTGGCACTTAATTCCATAAAGTCACAAGTCAGAAGAATTCTTTTAGGTTCAACAGTCACTGAAATGTTTGGACCCATACTGACATGGGCCATTAAAGGTCCGGTGACTTTCGTGGTCAAATCTGGTAGGGACTGTCCTTAGAGGATAGTTTTGAACATGGGCCACAGTCTCACACAACACAGCACCACAGTCGTATCCTTTCCTACTCACCTCCATCTAGAAAGAATGCGATGACCCCATTTGTCACCAACATAGACAGAAAAGGATTTTGATGAACTGATGTTGGGTTCTGAGATGGGAAGGAAAGGAGCAAAAGCTGGCTCTGGGAAGAGCTACACAGGAATCCATGAGCAAAGATGAGTTTCCTGAACTGTAAATCAATAAAGCCTGTTTCCTCTTCTCATTTGATGCCTCAAGCTCATCTGCTCCCATTTTCAAAGGTCAGCATTGACAGACTTGGGTCTCTGTGGGGCTTCAGATGGAGTGAAAGGAATGTTACCAGCAGGTACAGATCCTGCCAACTGGGTGGTGGATGGGGGCGGGATTGGTAGTGGACCCCTATAAGGGAGTCCCTTCCTAGGACTCAGATCAAACTTTCCTTCAGTCAGTAAATCAGGGCATCACTTTCTGTTACCAAAATGATAAGCAGTTGGGAAGCCAGGATGTGGAAGAAATGGCATCTCTTAGGTAAAAGAATGTGAATCAAAACTGCAATGTCTTTGCCTGAATTGTAACCTTGATAACTGCTTTTCCACCTCCAGTACCCTACTAGGAAAGGTGTGTTAGAGGGGTATGTGATATCCATTGACAGTTATGAGTAAATGAGGCTCTACCTGCCATCTAAGCACCTTGCATAACCCTCCACATCGTGGGGAGGGGGAAAACACAATGATCAGGCAGCTGGTATCTCCATTTCCTTATATTCAGCTTTGTTACACACATTAGCTCCATATCAGAATAAAGCAAGTGCATTAAAATGGAGATATTGAGTAATTTCAACGAAGACTGTGATATTTCTGGAGCTTGAACAAAGTGATATTAAGACATAAACTTAGCCTAAAAAAGGTGTGATTGTAGAACTCAGGAACAACAAATTTTACTACAATTACAATCACAACTACAACTACTACTCATTAAGTTCTTTGAAATCTGTGCTTGAAATTTGCCATCATGAAGGAAAAATAAGAAACCTCAAATGTTTCAAATTACTCTTGTGTGGGAATTCCCGATTTTCCATGTGTTTCCAGTAAGGTTTGATTTCAAGATAATTTCTGGAAAATATAGGAAAAAAAGAATTTGGGTAACTCATAAAAGCAAGTAATATGTGCATAATTGTGTGAGAAAAGCTAAAACAACATTTCACAGCTGGTCAGCATAAAAAATGACTTGTCGGTTTTACTTTACAGATAACACCTGTATGTTTTAAATAATACATAGGCACATTATTCATTTGAAGACATTTTTTACAGTATAAAGTTTCTGTGTATAGGAAATATAAAGATCTAGCTTTTATAAGAATTTATTTTTATGATGTTAAATAAAACTGATTCCAAAGCATATATTATCCATCACAATAGATAGATGGCCATAATTTGTCCTATTCAGATAGCAGAGAAAATGATTTTGAATTTTATCAGGCATGCTGGAAACTTCTTTGGGGGGGGGGCTTGACATCTCAGATCTCAAGAAAGTTTTCTTTGCAAGGGAGGGGGAACAATTGGTCTAATCCCTTTTTCTGGTGTCTAAGCTTTGATCAAAACTTCATATTCACACATCAATGCAGCCTAGAGGGGACCCTAAGTTAGGGTGGGTGCTTGGGCATGACTATGCATGCTAATATGTGTTGTGTGTGCTAATGTGCATGAGATTGTGTGTGTGCACTGGTGCATTAAGATGAATGTTCTGCCACTGTGGAGTAAAGGAAGGTTTGGGAAAAGGAGGGAAGAATTGTAGAGGAGCAGTTTCACCCTCTAAAAACTTGGGACTAAATAGTAAATATACTCCTTCCCCTGCACCAAAATGTAACCTTTGGTTTTGAAGCAAAGTCTTCTGAGAACTAGAATTTGCAAAACAAAGAGACACAATGGGAAAAGGTTCACCTAGAGTCTTCAAAGCATGCATAAGTGGCCAGGATCAATAGTGGAGTCTTTCCACTTCATGCTACCAGGGAGAGAACACCAAGAGGACTCTCAGTGCAGCAAGGCATGGGTAGGAGTCTTGATGTAAGAAAGGAAAACAGAGTTGGGAACTGTGATTCTTCTGCATGGGAGGTAAGGTGCAGGTGTTTGGCTGGCAGGGAATATTTTACTGTCAGATATTTCCTCACTCTTACCATTAAAACCATAGTTTGAGGTGGGGATGAGGAAATGACACTTTAGCAAATGGAAATTTGAGAAAATACTACATTCAAGAACATAGAAATCCTATGGAGCGATACTGGAAATACAGAGCTCAGAGCACCTGCAGGTAGGGTGGTGGTGGTGGTTATTGTTGTTGTTGCATCTTATCCCCTCTATATTTGTGTTTTCCTGTTTGGATTCCAAGAATTTGTTGATTCATTTGGCTCCATCTCTAAACTGTGAGTGCCTTACAAACATTCATTTTGGCTTATTCATCTTCACAAGACCCTGGAAAACCTCACAAAGCCCCCTATCCCTTGGTTTTTAAGAGATGGGATAGATTAAGCAACAAACTAGAGTTAGAGGATTTAATTTTCCTAAAATTTGGCTACAGGTTAGTCACTTTGACCTCTAGGTCTCAGTTTCTTCCTGGTAAATGAAAGTTGCCTTAGAGGATCTCTATGATGATTTCCAACTTAGCATCATGATGGAATAGAAAGCTTTTTTTTTTTTTTCCTTTTAGGAAATGTAAAAGTTATGTATCAGTTGAATTTGTGATCATATCTATAAATACAGTGAAGATTTCTCCTTAAATATGCACTAATAAAGCTGTTATTTAGGATAATAAGATAATGAAGTAGAAATCAGCCCACCTAAACATGATGGCCAGTATATTGTCTTTCTATGATTAAACACTTCAACTACTTTCATCAGGTGCAGATTACTTCCTTGAACTAACATTATTTTTCTAGAACATAGCTGTTCATTCTAATCCACTAAAGTAATTTTTTCACATATGACCAAATGAACTTTCTAAAGTGTTAGAAATTTTATCAGGCATGCAGGAAACTATAAAGTCACTTATACAGGGGGGAAAAAAACTTACTTCCAAGAAGAATTGTTCTGTATGAGTAGGAATTTATTCATTCTATTCAAAAGCTCTGTTAGTTTCTTTCCTTGTGATATGTGGTTCTAATAAATATTCAGCACTTGATATTGATATTTGGAATTTTGTTTCTAAGTGTTCTTCAGTGTACTCATAAATGACTGGATAATCTATCTGAATATAAATGTTATTTAAAAAAAATAAAGGCATAAAATTTGTGTGAGAAGCTCAGCACCTTCAAAAGAGACAAGCTTTAATAAGAAGAAAATTCAGTTGGAATTTCCTTACATTCTAAATAAGAAATATTTTGTGGATGAAAAGAATTATAATTAATACATTTGAACCACTGTCATCTTGAAATACCTATCAAAATGATCCACTGAGATTAACAATGATGAAATGGTTGCATTTACTGAATGGAGATTGCTTTATAAATGGTGTTTAATGACAAATGCTGGATTATTTCACTAAAACTGGTTAAGAAAATTAAGTTTGCTATTTGTAGGCACATGTACTGATCACTGGAGTAAAAATTGTGAGCTTAGTGCTGAAGGCAATTGGTGGAAAATTGGAGATTGCTGGAACCTAGATTCTCTTCCTTTATATTCTGACTCATCAGCCTGGTAGTATGGGCCTTGGACAACTGACCACTGAGAGACTGAGGGGGTTGGAAATTCACAGGCCTTCGACAAGAGCAACTTCCTTGCAGGTTCTGATGAATTTCAGAATCCATCAGCAGCTATTGAATATTCCTGGGACTTGGAAGGTCACTTAATTTATGAGTGAGGATCAGATGTCAGAACACATTTTACTTGCCTCCCAGATGATGACAGATGGTGTTCCAGTCAGAGGGACCATCATTACTGGACATTTCCAGAAGTCCTCCAGAGGTTTATTGGTACTTTGAGGACCTCCAGCCAGTCCTGGACTTTCATGGTTCCCTCCCTAAGAAGCAATCATCAGCTTGGGGGCCACTGAGGCATCTCAGCTACCCTTGTCATCATCAGAGTTTTAAAAAATGGAAAAGTGCTAATTATATCAGATTCATTTTTTACTGATGTGGTCATGGATTCGCCTGAAGAACATTGGTAGGGGAGGTGTTCCTGCTGCTACAGTAGATCATCTAGTCATTATGTCGGAAATCCCTAGGACTTTCCTTCTACCTTTTTAGAATTGATAATTAGAGGAAACAAAGAGGACAGAGGAAAAGACCAATGGTGTGTAAATGCCACCCGCTTTTACTAATAAGCACCAATCCTCTTTCTCTACAAAGTATTCTTTTTTTCTCCTAAAAGGAATTTCCGAAAAGACTAGTAGTTTAAGGCCTGTGACAATGAGTGTTTATTTTCTGTGATTGAACATATGGACATTTATCATTTTAATTATCTTTTAAGCAGGAATAAAAAGAGAAGGTGAGAATACAAAATTTACAAATCTTCTGGGGGGGGGGGCGGAATTGAGGAGAATTCATTTCAGTAGCTAACTATTTCCCTCCTTGCCTTTCTAAAGCAAGGGCGTTCCAGTGGCTGGGATTAAGTGACAGATTGTGGGCACTGACTAGAGGCCCGCTGGAGAAAGCGGGGAGCCCATCCTTTGCACACAAAGCCGCGGAGTTCCCATGCCGCAGGCGGCCCTGCCCTGGGGCACCGTCGCGCTCCAAGCTCAGTGACCCGCCAGGAAGCGCCCGCGACTGCTCTCGGCAACCCTGACGCGCTGCTGGGTGGCTGGGAGAAGTTAGTCACCCCGCGACCGAACCGAGCTAGCGTCGGAGCTCGAATAGGCTAGGGAAGGAGGAGGCAGGAAACCCAGTACCCCCGGACAGCTGGAAGGAAGCGAAGGAGCGCGGGGGCGAGGGATCGCTTGGGAAGCTGAGAGCCCTGGCTGGTGGATGGTGTGGTACCGTCTGCAAAGCCGGAGCGCACTGGCCTGCAAAGGGGAAAAACTTGCGGCAGAAACTTCCTACCCAAAGCAAGAAAGGCAAGCGAGAAAGAGGCAGGGAGAGACTTGAAATGTCTCAATAACTTTAAAATCACCCCAAAACATCCCTCCAGAAGATGAGGTAAGCCGAGGCTAACCAACCCCTCTTGGTTGTGAAATACCAGACCGACCCGGAGTCGCTGTGACTTTAAATGAGACCAAGTAAATTTTATGTTTTTCTTCCCAAATACCCCCACCCCCCACCCCGCCCGCCCTTGCTCCCTCCTTTGTCCCTCCTTCCTCTCCTTCAGGTCCCGGTCCCTTCCTCCTTCTTGTCTCCCTTTCCTCGATCACCCTCCCCCGCCCTAGCTCTCTCCCTCCCCCATCTGATTAGGCGCAGACGGGGAAGGGTGGGAGTGGTGGGGGAAGCTCTCCCTTTAAGAGGCAGCGTGCAGTGACGAATTGTTGAAATTGCCATTGCAGGATGGCATGCCGCTATAAATTCATTGTTCCACCTCCTCGCATCTTCACAGCGCTCGCGCTGCTCTCCGCGCTCTCTACGGCCGACTGGGGATGACGGCGGGCAGGAAGACACCGCAGCCAAAGGGACTCGGACGCGCTGCTTCACCGGCTCTCCTCAGTCTGCCCCCCACATTTTTGTTTTGATTTTTATGGCTTTTTTCCGTCTCTTTCTTCCCTTCCTCCCGGTTTCAGCAGAGCCGAGGAAACCCTCAAAATAAGAAAGGAAGTGGCCCCGAAGCTTGGAAACTCCGCAGCCAGCCGGTCCGGAGCAGCCAGGGGGCGGGAGGGGGTGCGCACCAGTTGCCCGCCTGATGCGCGATACCTTTTTTTACTTTTCTTGGCGCAACGACCTTGGCTACATTTGGGTTTTCCTCCCTTCCCCGTATTGGCTGAATCTCCACTACCTAGCTTTTTAATTTTATTTCATTTTTTTTTCCCCTTTCTTTTTCTTTACTCCCCTCTTTCCGGAGCACAAATCCAAACATTTTCCAAACCAACAAAGAAAAGTTAGCACGCTGGCACCGCGGCTCGGACAGGCTGGCGCTGCTTCTGGTCGCACTGCCTCCGACACTTGACTCAACCTTGAAAGCAAGTGTGTGTGTGTGTCCCCATCCCCCCGCCCCGGTAACTTCCCTGTCGAATAACAAATACCCATAAAGTCCCTGTCGCGCAGCCCCTCCCCGCGGGCAGCGCACTATGCGGCTCGGGTGGGCGTCCCTGCTGCTGTGCGCGTTCCGTCTGTCCCTGGCTGCGGCCAGCCGGGCTGAGGCACCTGCCCAGGATAAAGCCCAGCAGTCTCCGGTTGCTGCAGCGGCAGCCCAGCCCCGCGAGCGGCAGGGGGAGGAGGCGCAGGAGCGGTTCGAGCCTCTGGGCCATCCATACCCCCTGGCGCTGCAGCGCAGGAGCAGCGGGCTTGTGCAGAACATCGACCAACTCTACTCCGGCGGCGGAAAGGTTGGCTACCTCGTTTACGCGGGCGGCCGAAGATTTCTCCTGGACTTGGAGAGGGATGGTTCGGTGGGCACTTCTGGCTTCGTGCCCGCAGGAGGCGGGCTAAGCGCACCTCGGCGCCACCGGAGCCACTGCTTTTACAGGGGCACCGTGGACGGCAGTCCTCGCTCCCTGGCTGTTTTTGACCTGTGTGGGGGTCTTGACGGCTTCTTCGCGGTCAAGCACGCGCGCTACACCTTAAAGCCTCTACTGCGGGGACCATGGCCTGAGGGAGAAACCGGGCGCATGTACGGGGATGGGTCAGCACGGGTCCTGCACGTCTATACCCGTGAAGGTTTCAGCTTCGAAGCCCTGCCGCCACGCGCCAGCTGTGAGACCCCCTCGTCCCGGCCGGGCGTCCACCAGCGCCTCCAGCTTCATAGTAGTCCAGACCGACATACTGCGCTGGCCTCGAAGCTCAGGGACCAGTCCGCTCTCTTGCCTGTGGAGGACCCAGGACCTCAGACCTGGTGGCGGCGTAGGCGCCGCTCCATCTCCCGGGCCCGCCAGGTGGAGCTGCTCCTGGTGGCGGATGCGTCTATGGCGCGGATGTATGGCCGGGGCCTGCAGCATTACCTGCTGACCCTGGCCTCAATTGCCAACAGACTGTACAGCCATGCCAGCATCGAGAACCACATCCGCCTGGTGGTGGTGAAGGTGGTGGTGCTGGGAGACAAGGACAAGAGCTTGGAAGTGAGCAAGAACGCAGCCACCACACTCAAGAACTTTTGCAAATGGCAGCACCAGCACAACCAGCTGGAAGATGACCACGAGGAGCACTATGATGCGGCCATCCTGTTCACCAGGGAGGTAGGTCCAGCTGGGGTGGGTGCACCTGGCGCTGAGATAAGGAGGTAGGTGGAAGGGACAGTCTTGCTGATGGCTTTGTTTCTCCTACAAACCATCTGACACTATGGACTTGCTTAACCGCATCTTGCAGAAAACCCAGGCTGCGAGCTATGCTCCTGTGTTCAGATTAGCATCCGCAGCAATTCTTGCCTTAGTGACTAGACCTGCTTAGGCAATCAATAATGCTCTGTGTCATCCAGTCTGAGATATATTAATACAGGGCCACAAACACGGTAAAGAGAACTAGAATACTTCAGAAACTGTACATAGTTAAATGGGAAAGGGGGGAAAGCAAAATTTCTTTTGGAATCATCAATCTTTTGCTTTCCAGTGAAAGCAAACAAATAACTTTGTCTAACCTAATGGAAAGGGCTTGTTAGTTCATCCAGATAGTTCATCTGATACTATTCCTTTGCAAATGTCCCTTACTAGTTGAGCTCCTTGTGCAACACAAGTGAAGGAAAGATTTTCCTAAGGACCCCCTTTCCAATCTGGCTTCCTAATGGAATCCTTACTGTCTTAGTTCCTGGGAAGGAAAAAATGTGGGAGGGCCAAAAGGACACAGAAGCCCAATCAGCTGACAGGACAAACTTGTGAGGTTGCTTAACAAGTTCTTTGCTTAGTAGACCAGTAAATCACAAGCACAGTCCTTGCCAACTCAGCGGCCAAGGAAGGGTCACATCCAATTTGCAGGTTTGGGTTTTGGAAGAATGTTTCTGAAGCTCCAGTGCAAAAGATCTAGGCAAAGAGTCAAGGCCTGGGGAAAGAGTATTTTCCCAGGATTTCCCCCATTTTAAGGATGACTTTACAGGAAAGAAATGGATCTTTATAAGCCCAGAGGCTCTAGGAGGAACACAATATCTGTTTACATGGTTATTAGACCACCACCTTGCTATGGCATTAACAGAAAGTCTGGATTAGATTGGGGTCTGGGCTGCTCATAGTTTTGAGCCTCAGTTTTCACAGTTCTGTTTTGACTGGCAGCTTTCTGGATTCTCAAATAACTGGTAAGAATTGACCTTTAAAGTTCATTCTTGAAGTGTTTGAGACTCACCCAGAATAAATGAAGAATTACAAACTTTGAAGTATTATCTAAAATCACGAAATGGAATAAACAAAGGATAAGAAATTAAATGATGCAGGAGGCTTCAGAATCATGCCTTCACTACCCAATTCTTCTATTTTCACTAAGGCACCCATGGTATGAAGGAAAAGTGTTGATAAATTTGGAGTGGTACATGTGGTTCATGGGTGGACATAATGTAAACCACATGTAAACAAAGACATTGAAGGGCAGCACTTTAGAGAGAAACAGGCAGAGCACCCGTGTGGTGCACAATGGAAAATCTTTCTCCTCATTAAGTGATATTCTGGAATCCATCCTTTAATTCCTGTGCACAACATAGGTCTTTGAAACGGTAGAACATTCATTTTGTAGCCGCCCCTATGAAGTTCTCCTGTAAAACTATCCCTTTCTTATTTAGTTTCCAAGTCCCCCCTCCCAACCTTTTTTTTTTTTTTTTTTTTTTCATAAGTAACTTTCCATGTCTGGGTTTCCTTGCTTTGCTACATCACAAGAGACTGCCAAGCAGGAAGCTTGGCTAGTTTATGGAAGGAGGCTCCCTAAAGAAATAGGAAAAAAAAATCTTTTGTAGGCATACTGCTCTGAAGAGTAGATCATTTTAATAATTCATCTTTACTACTAATGTATATTCTAGAATTCTAATATAAGTCAAAATTGATAGAAGGCCCATCACTCCTTGCCCTCTGACCCATAATTTTCTTAATGTTTCCCAGGGGAAAAAAAAACCAAACTAGGCAGTGATTGTATATGATGTTTATCTTGCTTTTTCTGGATTTGTTTTTTTTTTTTTTTTTTGCTTGGATAGTTAATTCTGTGAAACGCATCCAAACCTTTTAAATGGATGAAAGCAAGGAAGAAATAAATTGACTAGCTATCTTAATTTTAATAAGTACTGTAATAACATACTGTTTTCAAACTGCTTCACACATGAGAAGTATTTGACATGGGTCCTCCCTGGCCTCTTTGCCAAGCAGAAGCATACTTTAAGGAAAGAAAATCTCACTGAGTTTCCAGTTGGCCTTCTAGTCTACCCATTGGAATTCACAAAAACCAGTAGTTTGAAAAGTCAAGTTACAACTAGGTATTATGAATATATGCAACTAATTTTAAAAGAGTGTTATTAGGTGGCTGAGACAAGTATTTCAAGACCTCTATGCAGTATTCACTTGCGAATATTCCAAATATAGAGTTGATTTTTGCCTCATTCTTCAGAGAGTAAAAAACAGAAAAGGCTGGAAGAGAGATGATCTTGGTTAATCTATCTCATGGAAATCAGATATCTTAAGGCCTTAAGAAAATCTTTCTCCCCTATATCTATTTCAATGAGAAATACACAGAGTTGGCTGCAGGCTTCTACTTTTACAACTCTGTTTTGAATGTAAGAAGTGTGTTGCTTAGCAGCCAGACGCCAAGCCATCAAATCCGTGTTTTGATGGGCTCTGAGTCCAGCTCAAATTTTGTCTCCAGATGTCTTCTTCTAAATTACTTGTTTTTCAGGCATGAAGCAAATGTGTGAGGATATGTTTTCCACTGTATTTACTAGCCGAGGCCACCTTGAACGTTGTATCTGGAAGTCAGCAGAATAGTGTCCATAATTTATCTATCAAACTAATGCATTTGCTATCATATCTATACTCCAGCATTTCAATACTGCTATAATTAGAGAAACTTAGCACCAGCCAATTTTCTGGCGCAGAAGCCATTTTCATTGTGGAATGGCACTTATGCTGGATTTCACATTACTTCTCCAGTGGAACAGTTGAAATCCAACCTCCCCAGTCTTTATTTTTGCAAGAATCTTTTCTTGTTCCTAACTTCCTCTTTTATTTTAAAGTAATTTATTTAAATATTTAAAGACAAAGTCTTAAACCCATTTTGTAGACAATCCACTCTTTTCTAGAAACAAAAGTCTCTCCAATTGATGACAAAATTGGCGGGTTTTTAAAATCCCACTGACAATTGCGTACCACCAGTGAAAGCTATACCCTGCCATGATTGAAAATATGGAATTGAAACTAAACCAGCTAAGAGACGTGCCATATAAAAAGTTCATTCACTGTCATTAATTATCAGTGTGCACTTTAATACGCTATTGTCCCTGGCTCAAAACTCTCTTCTCCTATTCTGCTTTAGCTTAGGATGCTGGAACTGGAATTTAGACATGTTTCTCCTTTACCGCTTCTCAGGTTCTGACAATAGGGGGTGCTAAAGAGAGACCAGAATCTTGAAAGAGTGAGAGGGATGTTTTTTCTCTTTTCGTCCTGCTGACTAGACCATCTGACTCAGTGTCTTATTTGAATTCAAGTCCATTTAAAGAAAATAAAGGAGTCCTTATCAATAAATCATAGCTTATAGTCAATCTTAACTAATAAAAGGCTAAATAACCCTGAAATGGGCAGACTAGTAGCAGATTAAGCAGCTTTAATTAGTATTATTAATATATGACAAATATTGTGAAAAGTCTAAAGTCTATTAGAGACAAGATCTCACAACACACAGGAGATATTGCCTTTCTGTGTTTCTTACTTTGGCATGTGCCTGTGTGTACCTTCCACGTGTAACACACTCACTAGGCAGTGTGGTAGATGCAGGATAGAAAACACCTGGTCCCTGCCTCCTGGGCTTATCACTAGCTGAGAGGATGCAGGCATGTGCATAAATCAATCCAGTGTTAGGAAAACTGATAAATGCAGTACTAAGCTAAATGCAAAGTCTATGAGAGAAAAAGTGAGAGCACTGTGAATTCTGCCTGTGGATTTTTATGCAGGTCTTATTGTACATGTAGAATTGAATTGGTTTTCAAAAGATGGATAAACTTGACTTAGATTCAACCACCTGTAATCAATCCCTTTATAGGTACTACCCAGGGGTGTAAGACACATGATCATTAATCTTTCAGCAATCTACAACCACTGTGTCATTCTTTTGGTTTGACAGATAAGGACACTCATGTACAGAGAAACAGATAATCTTAGAGCAACAGCTGACAAATGACACAGAAAGAAGATAGTGCTCTCTAAACTAAAAATATTATCACTAATTTATTCAAACATTCAATATGTTCTTTCTAGGCAGGTATTCTGAGATTTAAAAAGTGGCCACTTTCTTTAGAATCTATTTCAGGAAACAGTGAAGTGGATAATTTTGGTGGAGCATGATAACTTTTATGATAGATATGGTTGTAGAGCATCGGGAAATGTTGCCGACCACATTTCAGTTCAGGTTTGAAGAAAAGGTAGGCATTAGCCAGGCTCATAAGGAGGAGTTAGGCATTGAGAACACAGTGGACCTTCATGTTCCATGGCTTAGAAGAATTGTGATAATTCTGCAAAATTCAGGGAGTTATCTGTGATGGGATACGGGATGTGAGGGTGGAAAGGACAACTTGGAGAAGACAATAAGAACCAGATTACAGATACAGAAGAAATTGTATATTGTGTAATTTCAGTTTGCTTGGGCTACCATAACAAGATACCATAGGATGAGTGGCTTGAACAACAGAAATATATTTTCTCTCAGTTTCAGAAACTAGAAAGTTTAAGACCAAAGTTCTAGCCAGTTTGATTTTGGGTGAGGCCTCTTTTCCTGGCATGTGCTCAGAAGATGTTTCCTCTTTGAGTGCTCTGGGTGCACAGGAGAGTTTGAGAAAGACTGAGCTCTGGTGTCACTTAATGACACCAATCCTATCTGATCAGAGACCTACCCTTATGACCTCATTTAACCCAATTTACCTTTTTATGGGTCCCATCTTCTGATACAGTGGTGTTAGGGTTTAGGAATTCAATTTAGGAATTTAGGGAGGACACAATTCAGTCCATAGCACCATGGCAAGCAGTATATATTATAAACTAAATGCAATGAGAACCAATGAAAAGAA